ACTTATCGATTTCAATCGGTAAGTATGTTGATAGGTATTTGTCTGTCTGTATGTCTGTTTGTTTGTCTGTTAGATGCACGCGATATCTCACGAAAGCGAGATTGAATCTGCTCCAGATTTTGCACGTGCATTCATCTTATCTCCAGAAGGACCAGAAGCCTATTGATTTTGGGCAAATTATGTCGTATAATTAGCGAGTTATTGATTAATTAGTGATGGGACACAAGGTGTCACTATCGAGTAAGAGCGCTGTTTTGGGATCCTCTAACTTTCGATCGATAAGTCTTCGGTCTCTGACCGATATTCTCGTTTATGAATTAAAGGTGGGTTATCACGCAAACATTTTTGTAGCAAATTTGGTTCTATATAATTTATTAAGATTTTTGGCGTTTACCGTTTGCATAAAATAATTTCGTTTGCGAGACTCGAATTTTTAAAAGTCGACCCTGCCGAAATCGAACGCAAATAAGTATGTCCCGTTGATGACGTAGTGGTGAGAACTCGTCGGCGAAACTTTGCATTAGGTCAAAGGTAATTACAGCATTCTGTGTACTTATTTTGAACCGTGTGCTAGTTCTATTGGGCGGCGGATTTGGAGGAAGCTTTTGTGATTTAAATCAATACCAATATCTTTAAATAATTTTATTGCATTATGAGAAATTGCAGTAAACTCAACTAATCGAGGTCAAGACGTACTCGAGTTCTGTGCCGGCCCTTTTGCTGCAATATATTTTCTAGTGAAAAAGCGCATACCAGGCCATTTTTTGTCTCAAATGATCCAGATTTTATAATTCATGTGTGTTTACTCTGCTTATCTGATCCTATAACTAGTCTTTTTAGTATATTTTCGGTATATATAAACTATCTGATTATACCGGTATATGCGCAAACACTACCGTAACGAATGGAATGTGTAGTTAGTGGTTACAGCAGATTTCACAGGGATGGATCTGTCTTGAAGCAGAAAACTATGGATATAATTTTCGCAAGTTACCTTTTTTGATGTGTTTCCATGGAACTAAAATAAGACCTCCAAGTCGAAGGATCGTTTCAGCCTTAAAATTATGTTGGAATCCATGCAAACTTCTACTACCCACAGCCCGAAACAACAAGACCTCGCGCAGTTATTCAAATCTGTTTTTATTTTTTTTTAAATTTTATTACAAGTTTTCATCATATGTAATTCATTCATGCCAATAAATGTGTTGTCACGAATCTCCATTAGTTGTTGATCGATAACAGCTGGACTGTGTTGTTAATAGCAGCCCAGATAGCACAACTACGTTGGGCCAACGTTATAATCCGTCGGCAACCGTTGTACGCGGTTTTACAACCATTTACCATGGTAAGGCCATGATTGGCCTTCAACGAAACATGCGCAGAAATGGGCGCGCGATTCGAATATAGCACATGAGGTCGCCATTCATTTTGGCGGTACTCGTAATCGATAGCCTGTTACGAGGTTTTTGCCGTGGATGGGACAGTGACATTGAACTTTTAATGCTTTCATAGTAGAATGGCGAAAGTAGAGATAGCCTAGTTGTAACCGTGTAAGTTAATCTCATGGTACCGGTACCCTAAGTGCGTTGTCAGGTCACCGGTACCTATGGTAGATACCGGTAAAAGTTACATATTTGATACGCTTTTGGAAATTCTGAAATCAGCTGTTGACAAACATGCTCCGCTGAGAAAAAAAACGCGTAGAGAACTGAGATTCGACTCGAAACTGTGGTTTACGATAGGTATCAAAAAATCAATCGCGACTCGTAAACGTTTATATAAAAGTCATTTTTTATCCATGGACAAAACAAAAATAAGATATTACAAAAGATACTCTAACATTCTTACACATATCAAGAAAAAGGCTAAAATAAAATTTTATCAAGAAAAATTCAAAGAACTAGAGGGTGACACAAAAAAGACATGGAATCTCATTAACACAATCACTAATAAGAAGCATAAACAAAAATTTCCACACGAAATTGAGACAAATTATGGCATTATATGCAACTACCAGTCCATATGCGAAGAATTTAACACTTACTTTGTAAACGTTGGTCCTAATCTTGCATCAAATCTGACAAATAATTCTATAAATTTTATGAAATATTTAGGCGAACCCCAGAAAAATTCAATTTATCTGGAGCCTATACTAGAATATGAAATTATTTCACTTGTAAACAAAATGGATTCAAGAAAAGCTTCTGGTCCGGACGGCCTGTCTATTCGTTTTCTAAAAATGATGATTCATATCATTAGCAAGAATCTTACAGATATCTTTAATACATGCATGCAGCATGGAGTCTTTCCGCAATGCCTGAAAGTGGCAAAAGTGACGCCTGTGTTTAAATCAGGAGATCCAAGCATAGTAAGCAATTATCGACCAATTTCAGTTCTTCCAGCTGTAGCCAAACTTTTCGAAAAACTATTACACATCAGATTGGCAGAATATCTGGACAAATTTGACATTTTGTCAGATAAACAATTCGGTTTTAGACTTGAACACTCAACAATTCACGCGGTTTTAGACAGTGTTACTCATCTATATATGAATATTGCTGAAAAACAACATTCGGTTAACATTTACGTGGACTTAAAAAAAGCTTTTGATACAATTGATCACTCAATATTACTGCACAAACTTCATCATTATGGTATAAGAGGTAATGCACTGGCGTTGATAAAAAGTTACATAAGTGAACGTATGCAATATGTCAGTTTTGGTAATGTTAGATCTACTTCACAAAATGTTAGTATGGGCGTACCACAAGGTTCTGTTTTGGGGCCTCTATTGTTCATAATCTATGTGAATGATATCCATAATTCCAGTAAATTTTCGACACATCTTTTTGCTGATGACACTTCTTTCAAACTTTCGAGATGTTCCATTCACCAATTAGAAACCGATTGCAATTCTGAGCTCTCAAAGATTGGCAAATGGATGCACTCCAACAAGCTAACTGTGAATCCCCAGAAGACTAAATACATTGTAATTTCTAGGAATGATCGTGCAAGCGTAAATCTATATCTTGATGGTTTTAAGCTGGAAAAAGTAAAAAAAGCTTCTTACTTGGGACTTGAAATTGATTGTTGCTTGAACTGGAGTAGTCACATTGAACTGCTATCAAAAAAGTTAGCACGAGCCGTTGGAACGCTGAGTAAGCTACGTGGATTGGTCTCACAAAAAACTCTTCTACAAATTTATTACAGTCTCTTTTATTCACATATGTCTTATGGTATAATAATATGGGGTTGTTCGGCAAAACAGCATCTGAAAAAGCTCAGTGTACTGCAAAACAGAGCAATTCGCATAATTTCCAATAGCAGTTACAAAGAAAATACAACACCGTACTATTATAAACATAAACTTCTTAAACTTAATGACTTATATCGTTATGAAGTTGCAAAATTTATGTACCGTACGAAACAAAACTGTTCTCCAAATACTTTTATGAATTATTTTCAAAACATAGGTTTAATCCACAATCATGGCACAAGATACTCACAGCACAACCTATTTGTTCCAAGGTCAGACTCATCGATTTTGCAAAAATCCATATTGTTCCAAGGTCCGGTTATTTGGAATGAAATTAGTCAGGAAATAAAAGACTGCAGCTATGCATGCTTCGCCCGCAAACTTTTTAAAAAATATATCGATAGCTACAAGTGACATACTCACACCATCGGTCGCTGTTGGTAGGAGGACAAGAAATTACTGTGTTTTAACCCTACTCCGCCAGTCGCTCTGTGGCCATTTTACATGGGTTATTTTAATTGTCAACCATTAAGCCCTAAATGACTTTTTCATAGCGTGTTTTTAATAGAGTTCTATTCAGTTATATACCGGTATGTTTAAAACACACTCCTAAAATAATATTTTTTTATGCGACAAAATTTCTATTGAACAACCTTGAACTTGCGAGATTTTGTGTCTAGTAGAGGTTAATTAATTTTTATTGCAACGTTTTCTTGTGTTATTTTCCAACAGAACAACACCAAAACCACTATTATAGCAAGAATGGATACTCTAAAATTCACGATTGTATTTACAGAATTTTCAAATTCAAGGCTTCAATTGACAATTTTGATGATGTCATACCTCTAATTATTACTGCACAGTTTATTGTAATTTATTTCCTGTCTGAGTCACTCTAACGATTTTACATGCCACTCAATGTATCGAACTAGTATTTAAAGCGAAGCTAGAGTCCCTTTTCGTGAAACATACGACTCTACTATACAACATTAACTGTAAAAGACCATTATTCCAGTTGGTTAGGCTTGAATTATACTGTGTACATGCCATCCCCCATAGTATGGTTTAAACATATTCAATTGAGTTTTGTTTTTTCTTTTGTTTTTGTTTTCCTCTCTGTTAGTTTTGTTAATTTATTTTCTGTGTATGCTACTTCAGCTCAATTTCGTTTAAAAAATGGTAATTTTATATTTTTTTAAAGGCTGTGACTGACTCGATGACCTAACGGTCGCTTCGTCACAGCCTCGTCACAATGCCTTGGAAATTAATTTTGAAATGTTGTATGTTGTATTTTGATTTTGACATTGTTGACGAAATAAAATACTACTACTACTACTACTACTACTACTACTGGACACCGTGGGCGTGGGTACCGGTACCGGTAACGACAGAACGAGATGAGGTACCGTACTTGGTCTTTTGGCATTTTTTTTGTTAAACTTTCTGAGATTGCCATCTCTTATTTACCAGTATTCGTTATCGAGTACCGTACCGGTATTGGTCCTTCATCCCTGGATATGATTTTTTATATTTACTTTATTTGTCTAAGTGCAAACATTTCCGCAGCCCAAATCCAACCCGTTGGACGACTTAATCCAGTAATCTGAATAGTTGTACATTTGTGAACCTTCTGTCTGATGAATTTCAACAAATCTAAATACAGATCTCAATTGGCAGATAGGCTGAAATCTAAAATATGTTTTAACAATTGCCACAATGAAACTGAAACTAAAATTTGATGTTTTTGGGTAAAACAAGCTCAAGGATTATTGTTTTCCCTTTTTGTTTTTGTAACACTTTAAATAAAATTTTGTTTCTAAAGTATAACTTTTTACGCCACACATGCGAGATGCGACATGGCCCGCCAGTCTAGGTGCGCAAAATTTTTGCACGTGGTCCGAGAACTTTGCCCAACACTGCTCTAATTCATATTTTCAGCTTTGTTGAGAAATAAATTACTGATTTTTGAATAATATCTATTTTGTTTTAAAATTCAATAGAATTATATTGGGTAATCATATATATTAATATGATTTATTTTCAGTATGTATGCTATGTAAGCTTACCCAACCAACCTTAATTAAGTGTTATTATATTTTAAAGTGAATTGGAAAGTAGACCGCTAGCAAAAAAGATTCGGGCGATTGGGGGGAAGCCCATCTCTGTACAATGACTGCCAAATGTGCATGCAACTGTGCAATGCCCAGCGACTCTAAAAGCATGAAGTAGGCTATTGTACGACACATCCTTTACAAATATTTGGACATATTTTGTGTAATATCCTTTTTTTTCCGGTTATTCTAAACAATTATTACCGATTAGATATTCTGTCAAGTGTCAATATTATCATTGTGGGTTTAATGATATATACCATTTTTATAATAGGCCCTATGACAATGGACTGGAAAATTCACCTGCTTCAATTCCCTCTTTCACGCACTCATACACTGTGTCATTTCAAGCATCTCAATGTTTCAATGCGGACAATGCCCAAAACAGGTGTTTTTGTTTTATAGTAGCTCCTTGCATATCTGTGCCATAAAATATTGCACAATAGCTAGATATATCGGTTGAATAATTACCTAGTACAACATCATATGGTTAAAACCGTATTTTCCGGCGAACAGGTCGCTTTTCTAGACCCAAATTTTTGGCCTGATTTTGGGGGGGGGGGGGGGGTCGTCTTATTAGGCGAGTATGATCATTTTCATTTTTTTGTCGCCTTATTATTGAATCCGGACAATAAAATACCTTCGGTGATAGCATCCCCCACGTCCTCATCTGGTTAGTTTAAATAAATCGACATTCTCGTGCTGTGAATCTGAAATTTCAATGCTGTGATTATCATATTTGCATTATCATATATGGACTGAATATTACGCTACAAAAAAAAGTCATAGGCTATTTTAACCAATGCGCAAACGCGGCGACCGCTCGAAAGGCATTGCATGGTAATTTGAGATTCCCGACGTTGATGCGATTTTACTACACCGACTCATCGGCCGGTTATATGCAAAAACCCATTTTTTCAGGCTTAAAAACAGGCCTCGTTCTATTCGCCGGGTAGACTTATTCGCCAGAAAATACGGTAATGGTAATATTAATGAAAAATTTATATTCTGGTAATTAGTATAGGCCATCCGTTCACGTTTATCATCTGAAAGTCAATCATGTACTATATATTGTGTAACACTAACTTGATTTTCAGAGATCAAGCCATGCTCCAATCCAGTCCATGGAAAAATTGTTGGGACAGGCGGTAGAAACTCTTATGCTACAAGCTACGGCATCTGCAACTTTCCACTGATTATAGTGTGGACTCGGACATACAGGAATTGATGAAATTCATTGTCAGATTACATTTTGATCCAGAATATTCAAGGATGAAAAAATGGCTCGTAAGTTGAATACTTTTATAGGCTGATTACATACACTTTACGGCGGTGGTTCCCAAACTTTTTTTTCCGCGACCCCAATTTTTGTAAAATCACAGACTACAGATACTTGCGACCCCACAACGAGAAAACATTAAAAATCAATTTATTCTATTTAATCTTTCTGATGAAAATCGACTGTAAGTTTGCGGGGCATTGGTGTAACGTGGTTGTACTTAACTGTTTAGTTCAGTGGTTCTCAACCTTTTTACCCCAGCGGCCAGCATGCAAGCAAAATTAATTTAAAAGAGTTTGCTGACCGGTAACACATGCCATCTTATGAAGACCACGATGTAAAAATCTCTGAGATTTAGAATATTTGTTTAGTTTTAGTACAATGTTAAAATATTGCAGATTACTCCATAATTAATTGGAAAGCTAAACAGAACATGAAAGTAAAATAGGTGAAAATACCTTTGCTGGGTCTCATCTTATTGAGTGCCTTTTATTTTTTGTCGTTTTGTTTTTGACTGCATGAAGCGCTTCGAATTTATATATGAAATACAATATGCCCCATGTTTCGCTTCATGTTCGAGGAAGATTATTTAAATGTCTAAATACGATCCGATTGCAATATTAAAATTGTTCACTTTTATACGAATGGGATGTGGACAAAACACATGTGTATATTTTAGAGTAGATACTCGCGATAATTAACATAGAGCTTTTGCAACGGATGGAAACCTTTTCATTAGATGTATTCTTATAATTGTGCTTATTTACTCATTCCAGATAAGATATTTGTCAAGTCTCGGAGGTTGCTCCAAGAAAGACTGGTTTGGAGAATCATGAGCTCGGTTATAACAAATTTACTCTCCCGCTCTTTCAACTGTGCAGGACGCGGTGGATAAGAAGGAGTGAGTGGGACGCCCTTAGTTTCTGCTATTAAAGGTATGTAATATGTTTATCATATTGTACCACCATCTTTCTCTGCTCTACCCTCTTCTATTTTATAAGTATAAGATTATTTTGACTCCAAATCAGCTTAAGATAATTCATAAGGGAAATGAACAAAAATTGATTAAATAGAATCTGACAATCTGGAGTGAATACAAAACCTTAATTAAGATTGAAGCGTAAAGAATATAAGGTTTTGCCAAAAAGATGCCTAGCGTGTTCATGAATTAAATTAAGTTACACACACACAACAACAACAGAGATATAATAAAATAAAAACAGGCGAGAAAATTTAGATAAGTTTGGTAATAAACAAAATGTACTTGCCAGTTGCCACACCATTCATTTTTATCATTATGATTGTCAAATTGAATAATGATTTTGTAAACAACTGTGAACAGTAAAGAAATTGAATGTAGATTTTGTATACAAAAGTGAACAGTATAGAAAAATATTTATTAAGGAGATATCGCCAAGCTGATTATGGTTAGAGTCAAGTGCCAAATTGCCAATCCAATGTTGCCAGAGTTTGGTGCATAATGGCGAACAGTGGTTTTCGAACTTATTTGTTGTATCATCGCTCCCTTACAGTACTTTTTACATTATCATCCCCCAACAGCAAATGATGAAGTTACAAATAAATTTTTTGTAAATCAATTAAACAAATAGACTAATCATGGTGCATGATGTTTCTAATAAGATAGATGAATTTCAACAAGGAATATTTGAAGACATTTTAGTCAGATAAAATCTCAAATCATCATTATTCCCTCCAACAAATATTCCCCTCAAAACATTGTCTGCGCCCCCCTTGCGGAATCAAGAATTTCTGTATTTCTCACTTTTTATTGTCTTGTCAATGTAAGCTTCACTCACACATTTGCGACTGCAGAAACTTGGCTTAAGATTCCTACTCTGGAAATTTGTTGGGATGCAGTCATTCAGACTAGGCTTTGAACTCTGGTGCTGTAATTTGCTAATACTGCAATTTAACACAGAATTTTTATATTTTTCAGCTCTGGATGATCTGGCAACGAACTACGATTAATTTTATTACATGTATACATATTTGTAAAATAAAGACATTTTGTTATCTTTTGTTTTTTATTATATAAATAATGTTAGATTAATGGGAAATTTCTATGTAGTATAGATCATACCCTGTCTGTACAACACATCGCCTAACTTGGCCCGACCATGTGCCACGATTGTATTACAACGTGTCACCTACGTAGGCCCGGCCATATGTCACGGTTGCTTTTCAGCGAAAGGACCGACGTTGGCCCAGCGGCCAAATCTTCGCTGGAACATGGTTGTTCGCCATTATTGGGCCGGTGGTTCGAACAACGTTCGGCCATGGTTGTTCCGGCGTAGTTGTGCTATCTGGGAGTGTGCACTGGAAAACGAAGTATACAAAGTAAATTGATAGAACTGACATAAAAAAAAGATCAGGATAATATCACCAGACAGTTCAGTAAGGTTCAACATACAACATTGTTTTGTTGCATAATAATGTGAAATGAATATAAAAAAACTGAACCATTATTGGGATTCTACGTTTATCTGGTACGGTACCGGTAATAGACTATCACTCTTTTCAACTTTTGGTAAATGTACAAATTGGTATTTGGTTCATACAAAAGTGTGACTGGGTATCATCATGCTTTGACTAAATATTTTATCAAACAGTCGATAAACAAAATGAAGTGTTAAATACTTACTCTATGATCAGTTCTTCAAAGCCTTCTGACGGGTGGTCAGTACCGGTATGATCATTACATAAAACACCGTGTCTTGATCCCTCACATTCAGAACTTCTTATGCCTCAACATTTATGCTTAACAATACATTATAGTTTCAATCTTTATGAAACTACGCGACGAGAAACTAGATTTAAACGCCAAAAACAGAGGTTGAACACCTTACTCGCCAACCAATTTCTGGAATGAGTTCTCACTACTACGTCATCAGAGGCCGTTCCGAACCTGGGTCGATTTTCGTTGAAGCGGTTTTTAAAAATTCATAAGTAGAAAACTAAGTCCACTTTATGCAAGCGGTAAACGTTGAAAATCTTAAAAAAAGAAATAGAATCAAATTTTCCATAAAAATGTTTGCGTGATAACCCACCTTTAAAGAATAAAAGGTATTTGTTACTAGGCCGCGAGCCGAGGCCCTGAAAAACGCCTAGAAAGTGAGTTTCGTAGCGCACATCAGGTAACTACCTGAAAATGATTTTAAAATGTTCCTTAAAAATTTAGTAACAAATATTGCCTTGTTCCCACTTCCAAAAGTTGCACGTTTTACGGAAAAGACGCTTTTACTACAAGAAATATGTGCTACGATCTGTCCTATATTCTCTACATTTCCGGCACTGAACAATGACTTCTGCATGACGTAACAACTGAATTAAACCAGCTGTTAGCGAGCGGATGAATATTAGTTATTTCTGCTCGACCTTGCGCTGAGTTGGGCAGGCTTTCCATAGCCCTGTTTAGTTATTATTAGTTAAGTTATGCTAAGACGTTGTTGAAAAATGTATAAGTAAATTATTAAACACTTGTAGATCCTTACCACGGATATGGGACGTGAGACGAAACCATGGAAACGCCCAGAAAATGAGTTTCGTAGCGCACATCTGGTAACTAAATAAATTCTTCAGTATTGTGTGAAAACGAACATAATGAACGCATTACAGCTTGTTCCACAATCCTGGTGCGAAATTGAATATAAGAGGTTCCCGGAAATTCAATAACCATAAGTTTACAACGCATACATAAGAACTATACAATTCGAGAGCCCTACAGCACACTAACACAAATGTATTCCTGTAATGTTTTGCCTGACCAAAATCGGACTTCCTCAGTCAATCATAATTTATTAGGTAGATTACGAAAAATATGGCATACATGTAACCAACAACAAAAAATACTTTAATTGTGTGACAGGAGTCGGGAGTGACCTCGAAAGCAGCGACACCAACAACGCTGATTCACATTTGAGAATAAATTTTATGTAATAACCACAAGCAGTTTACAACAAGAACAGCATAAAAAGCTACATCCATTTTATAGAAGCTATCAAGTATCAAACGTATTTATTTTTAAGCAATGAAGTCACAAATTAACATCGTGAGCACGAAAACACAAATAAATCAGTTATTTCTCACTTAGAAATTTACCGCAAAAGTCAAGAAAATTAAATGAATGTACAATATGTACATAACATAGTGAACAGAAATATTACGATTCACAATTAATCTTTTTTTAGTTTATGTGGTTATGTATTTGAACAAAGGCAATAATATTTCTAGAAACAGGACTACGACACTAACAAATGTCCGAAAAAAAAAAAATGTATGATACTTATTAAATCAACTGTAATATCTAATTCACTTTCTTCTGAATTGTTTTCGAAATCCACTATCTCAAAAATCGACTTTTCCTCTATAGGTGTACTGTGATTTCTGCAGTCAATACAAAAACAAAAATCTGTGCAATTTAAGTTGATTTTGGCACACTTTCATAAATTATTTTGACTATTTTTCTTTGCAGTTTGCCAACTCAAGAACTGATTTGAGGGCCACATGCTTCTTCAGTGAATCATTGTTGGGTGGAGAGTATAATCCTTATGTTTGACAGTGTTAAATAGACGTGCCCTGGTATCATTTACATTCTTCATATCCTCTTCAAATTCCTCAGCTTTATTTATTAATACCTCGTTAACCTCAAAAGATCTTCATAGTCGAGGGAAAAAATGAATTGAAAATCTCAATGAAGCCTCCAACATGAATTTGATGGGCAGTTCCAATTGCAGAAAAGTGCTAAAGTATTTCAATATGAATAGCCCATCTAAGCTGTTTGCAACTATTATGATTCTCATATACCTTTAAGCTTCAAGACTTCTTGTTTAATCCATTTTATAGCACTGATAGCAGCAGGGATCAGAGCCTGCGTTAGGTCGGATTGGTGGAACATTGCCGTTTTCTTTTGTAGTACAGTATCTAAAATAAGGAAGAAAATAATATTTGGAGCAGCATGATTTTAAAAATACCCCTAAATACTAACTAATACCTTGAATACATAATGCATTTTATCTGATGTACTAAATGAGCGTATATATGCTCATTGCATGTTCTACAGTCCAGCAGTGTTTGCATACCATTACTAGACTATATCTACACTAAATTTTGATATATCACAGTCTGAAATGTCCTATGACAGTATGAGTATGGACTATAGACTACGGTATATTTTGAAACATCAACTGTTTGTCTACAACTTCATTTCTCACCTCTCAATCATTTCCAATGCTACCTTTCTTTCCACTCCGGCATAACTTATCATTGCTTCCCAGGTTCTTGTCGACTCTATGAATTTAGATTTAGACCAACCGACATTAGTAAAATTGATTAATTTCTTCTCTTTCCCACAACCGTGCATTACAGAAACAGCCATTCATTTCTATTTCCAAATATGCTGTGGCCTATATAGTAGTATAAGTCTGCTGAATAGTCAAGAAGAGTCATTAAATTAATCATAAACATTTCATGCAAGCCAGAAAATATCGTTGTTTGTGACATATTATTCTAGGTCTAGCCTTCCTTGGAGTTACCGCACCGTACCTATTTAACAACGTCTTATGAGCTAGTGCTCAACTAAAATTGCTATTTATGGCAAGGATATACAAGTGTTTAATATCTTACCTATACTTTTCAACACCTCCTTAGAATAACTGGACTAATGTTACCGGTAACTGAAAAAAACTATGGAAAGGCTACTCAACGCAAAAGCGAGCAGTTGAGTACATCTGATATTCATCCGACCACTGGGGATCCACCTACAGCTGACTAACTTGACTGTTACGTCGTGCAGAAGTCTGCGTTCATTGGCCCATGATACCGGAAACGCAGAGAAAATAGGACAAATGGTAACACATATTTATTGTAGTAAAAGCGTCTTTTCTGTAAAACGTGCAACTTTTGGAAGTGGGAACAAGGCAATATTTGTTACTAAATTTCTAAGGAACATTTTAAAATCATTTTCAGGTAGTTACCTGATGTGCGCTACGAAACTGAAAGATAAATGGCCTCGGCTCGCGGCCTATACGTAAAAGCAAAGTCTAAGATTGAAACAATACCATTCATGGATGTGACGAGATGGGGGTTGTTACATGGCGTGAGGATCACTTTTAAGTGCAATTTTCAGAATTTCTTGAGATACATGGCTAGTGAATAAATAGCGCAGTACTGGGTAAAAGCATCCAAACCCCGAGGCGCGAGTCGAGTCACAGGTCACCTGAGTCTCGGGTCGATTCAAACACTAAGTCAAATCTCATTGGCGGTTTGTTGAGTCCGGGACATTCAAATAATTCGAGCCTTTGATAAATGGGGAAGTGGTCCAACTCAGGCCAATGAGCATGTATATATGCTCATTGCTCAGGCTAAGTCGATGACTCGAGCTTCCCCAGCACTGATTTTAATGAGGTGTTTGGTAATATCGTTTTAGAACTTGGTTTATATTCTTTTGGCGTCGACACAACTTGCAGACTTGCCCAGTATTGTGACTTATTCTTTTTTGTCCGCGAACAAGTACTTTTCCTCCCATATCGAGTTAGAAAATTGGCTTGAATTGGTCAACTTTTTCTAAAACTCATGTTTACAAAATGACTGTGGAATGAACGATTACTACATTTTGGCAAATGCGAGCTTTTAATTGATATTTACTAAATTTTCTGACATACTGACAGTAATTGTTGTCCTACTGTTTAAAGCTAGGTGATAACATCATTACTAGGTGATAACATCTATCAGTAGGCATACCTAAATAATTCCGCATTCGATTTTATTTCTCTACAAACCCAATTAGAGGATATTTTCGAAGGAAAAGATTGAATAAATTTGCAGAAGTTCAATATGGAAAGGCTATCAAAATTGCATAATTGACTTAAACTAGTTATCAATTTACGGCAGCCAAGCACACTATTCCAGTACCCCATCAACGTCACTTCTATCCATTGAATGTCTAAGTTAGCCAAAACACTAATAACGTTAGTGATGTAACAATATGTAAGAAACTTTTTACCAGTTAATTTTATCCTAAAATAACATCAAAATCAACATGGAAATGCGATCACTCATTTTTAACCT